TGTTTCTTTTACATTTGAGATGAACAGATTTTACATAATCGCTAGTGACAGGCTCATACTTGTATGTTCTATATGAACGCAGTTTATTACCATTTACATTGTTTGTGTCATCCCACAAAGGCAACTGCCACTTATCATCATCTTCAAAACTCAGGACATTCTTAATATCCTTCATATGACATCGAAGAATACAAATTGGTAAGGTATCGTACCGTAACGGAGCGGATCCAGGAGGAGAGGGGTTCCTGGGGTCCAGACCCACCACCCACCCGCACTCCTTTTTACAGGCATTTTTAAAGCGATGATGATATTTTTTTGGCAATTTCATACTTCATACAGTGCTACCTTACGAATAGTGCTTGCTGTGATTGCTTTTCAGGTCCGAAGGTCAAAGGTCAAGGTCACCATAACTATAAATAGAAAATATGTTTCCGTGCGATGAACTCAAGCTTCATACGTTGCTTTCTTACTAAAAGTGCCTTGTGACAGTACTTACGCATTCCATTTATCTATATTTTTCTTTAAATTGATCCTTTTACCATTATATATTTCCCCGTTATCTCGTCTGAGGACATTGTTGTTAAAATGAAAATTGGAAGACACATACTCTACACCAAATGCAATCTACATACTAACTTCAGGCAGAGACGTACCTCTCTGCTTCAGGTACCCCCTTACCAACCTGCTGACATCCCTTTGATGTCATACCTGTACACAGGTATATAGGTGTGTCTTGGGCCTCCTGCTGTCAGCACTGGACACAGGTGTTTAGTGTTATTTACTTGTACACCAATTTCACACCTAAGTATGCTAAGGGAGTGGATCAAGATGATTTTCATTATTTAACCAAGATGTTAAATTATAACTTGTTTATGCTACAACATGTATAGGGAGAAACAAAAGTGTTCGAATCTCATAATTTAATTTAATTTTCGAGATAAATGTAATCACGGAATTAGATTATTTATGTCCGTGATCTGATTTAGCATCGCGTACATAGGTACTGTATTGTATACAATTTAATGTATAACTGTCGATATTTTTCTGTTTATTTGAATTGTAGACCTAACATAAGACACCATGTCGTCGATTTGTCATCAAACGGTGATACTAAAAATAGTGACATTTAAAACAGCAGACACCAACGTTGAAGTTATTTTGTAAACTTTTTGGACCGTAGAGTAACCACAGTATATAACTTTGCAATATAAATATTCCGGCACAGAAGAGACGTATATATTACATATATACGTCTCTGGGCACAGCAACTGGTCACGAAGTAGTGTTGTTCAATGACGACACGACTGAACATATAAAGTATATACGTCTCTGTGTAAAGTCTCTGTGTAGAGTAAGGAAAATGATTGCAAACTGACTTTCCAGCTGAAATTTAGAAATATCTTTGATCGACAACATTGAGACAATTTTTGTTTAATTTCCATCAAACTCGTTCATTTGAAAAATTCAGAGTCGTCAGTTTGGAATTGGTTTCAATTAAACTCACTGTCTGGAAATTCTGGCAAATTCTATATGGCTGGATACCATCTGATTCCTCAAAACTGAAAAAAAAAAAAAATCGCAATCTAACGCTGTTTGACCATGGCTGTTCTCGATATCGCCTATTCCTTCGATGGTGACCGCTACTGGCGTTGAATTTGTGACGTCACAGCCGATATGGGCAAATTCACCGCGAGTTACGATTATGGTAATTAGTAGAAGAACAGGTGAAAATCGTACAATTTACACGTCAATATCTCGGTATTGGGATGACCGATTTTTATGCTGTTTTCGACATTTTTGTGTTTGGATCATATAGAATAATTATGTTTATTTCTATTTTCGTAACTGTAAATCTTCAAGGTCCATTCTTGTGTGAGCACTTCGATTGTCTCGATTCATGCACAGGGGTTCGTTACAAATGTCTGAAATACACATATGCTATACTGATATGGGTAACAGCACACATAAACAGTGCTGAGACCTATATCAGTATAGTATATGTGTATTTCAGATGTTGGTAACGAACCCCTGTGATTCATGTGACAATTATGATAGCAAACCAGTACATCAAACGAAACATAATACACTATAGATATACCTCCTCTCTGAAACAGCTTTCAACTTTGAACTTCACTATGGAGTCCACTTACACACGGTATGTAAGTATAAAGTGATCAATGCGCATGTCCAGGTTTGTCATTAACATATCAGCACTAGTTAGACAATGACAAAGCACATCATCAATAACTGATAGGTCAAAAATCAGATCGGTAGAAAAATGAAAGAGTTGTTGATATTAGACCTCAAATTGTCGTGTTGATCTTTAAGACAAGTCCTGAAGGTGTGTCGACCATGCATGTATGTTTAGGAAGTTTTATGGAATTTAAAAAAATAGACTTTTTTACTTTTATTCAAACATCTAACCTGTATTGGTGACTTTGATAATTGTCTTGACGTTGAAGCGAGGCTCAAAAACTTACTCCACGCTTCACCTCATATATAATGATGGCTCTAACATAAAAAATCGGTTTTTTTTCTCTCTATAAGTATGGATCAGAATATATTTAAAATTAGTAACATTTAATATTGTGTGTTGGAACGTGATTCCTATATTAAATTGCTTTTAAGTCAGTAATGGCTGGTTGTTAAGATGGTTTTACCTGAATTTGTGAAATGTATCTTTTTATGTATGTATTAACATGACACTATAATATAAAGGGGATATAAAGAAGTGTTACTTGAACGGGGGTCCTGTGTAAGATAGTGTTACTTGTTCGAGAGTCATGTGTTGGGGCCTGTAACCTGTACGGAGGTCCTGTGTTGGGTTCTGTTATCTGTACGGAGGTCCTGTTTTGGGTTCCGTATCTGTACGGAGGTCCTGTGTTGGGTCCTGTTACCTATTCGGAGATCCACTTTTGGGTCCTGTTACTTGTAAACGGAGGTCCTGTGTTGGGTCCTGTAGCCTGTATGGAGGTCTTGTGTTGGGTCCTGTTACCTGTATGGATGTCATGTGTTGGGTCCTGTTGCCTGTACAGAGGTCCTGTGTTGTGTCCTGTAACCTGTATGGAGGTCATGTGTTGGGTCCTGTTAACTGTACGGAGGTCATGTGGTTGGTCCTGTTACCTATTCGGAGATCCATTTTTGGGTCCTGTTACTTGTATACGGAGGTCCTGTGTTGGGTCCTATAACCTGTATGGAGGTCCTGTGTTGGGTCCTGTTACCTGTACGGAGGTCTTGTGTTGGGTTTTGTTACCTGTACGGAGGTCCTGTGTTGGGTCCTGTTACCTGTACCGAGGTCCTGTGTTGGGCTTTGCTACCTGTTCGGAGGTCCTGTGTTGGGTCCTGTTACCTGTACTGAGGTCCTTTGTTGGGTCCTGTTACTTGTTCGATGGTCCTGTGTTGGGTTTTGTTACCTGTATGGAGGTCCTGTGTTGGGTTTTGTTACCTGTACCGTGGTCCTGTGTTGGGTCCTGTGTTAGGTCCTGTTACCTGAACGGAGGTTCTATATTAATGCAAAATACATACAACTCAATCAGCTTCTCTATACAATGAGACTTAAAGACAGAATAAATGAATCTTCAACAAACCACTTTATCAATATGCAAGTAATCACACTTTTGTTTAAAATCTTCATTTCTAACGCTATCAAAACCAAAGGCCGATATCATATTTTCGTTCTAAATAGCTGGAATTTATACTTGTCTGCATAATATGATATATGTACTTTGTCTTTACCTGGTTGTGACCTTTAAAGTCAAAGGTCGCATAGCTCACTAATTAGTGACATTTATAGCCCTGGTACTTACAGGCGCTTAGTGTTTATAATGTCAATGAGGTCACATGAATATCGGACAGTACACCACATATATGTATTACGTTTCTCCTCTGTATAATTACCTTACATTGCCCTAAAATGTTCTCCAATATTGTCAGTTATCTTTTTCCCTTCTAATGATTCAAATTTCTATAAAAAGAATATTATCAAGCAATACCACATCACATGACCTCAAACTTATTACATAGAAGATGCTAATCTCTCCCATTAACCTTTCTATCGAATACTTGCTTCAAGAGGTCAATGAGCCAAACTTTACAAGCATTTACAGTAGAAGAAAACACACTAGCTGAGAACACTCTGAAAAATAAGTAAACTATGTAGTAATTTGAATGTTCCTGTTATTCCACAGGGACAGCTCGTAAATATATGTTGATCTGGGTTTAATCGTTGGTTATTTACTCCAGTCTAACCCCATACGCAAGCGGAACAACCACATAACTGAGCACCATGTATATCTCGATCTACTGAGCACCATGTATATATCGATCTACTGAGCACCATGTATATCTCGATCTACTGAGCACCATGTATATCTCGATCTAACGAGCACCATGTAATTCTTGATCTACTGGGTGGAATACTCTAATACTTTTCATATAATGGTTGTGAATCAAGATAAACGTATGGAGAGTATTCGTCCCGCGAAACGAAATAAAATAACTATTTTATAGTATTTGCTAAGGATAATTATCAATGGCTCGTCAGTACTCCCAGGTTTTTGCGGTAGTACACATACTAGGTTCCACTTTTCACATCCCTATAATAGATCTTAGCATACATACTGGTTCCAAATTCGCATATTCCTGTGATAGTACTCAAATACTTACTAGGACACAGTTCAGGTGTCCCTATATGGCAGAACTCAACACATCTACTAGAACACAATTTTCAGTAAGCTAAAATATTACTCATGCATGTACATATTGGGGCCCAATTCTCATATCCCTGTGATAGTATTCAACCGACACACCGGGGCTCATTTCTCAGGTCCCTGTGGTAGTACCTACTGATTCTTTCTAAAAAACACCTTATTATACACAGACCAGTAATAGCAGACTGTAATACATGCTAAAACATAGCGTGTAACGAGTAAATATATTTTGTTGTTAAATTCAGTGCGATACAAGTGATATGATACAATACATTTTTTGTTTTTTTTCAGAATATCGCCAACATGATGTCCGAGCCTTGGCGACCCCATTTTCCCGTAGCGACAATCGAAGGATTTTACAGATTTAATGATAGACAATGACATCAAAATTACTGGTCATGTCGCATGAATGACGTCACAGAGGTGACCACATAACATGTTACTTTACTATCAATGATGTTATAGGATGTTACTGGCTACTACTGAAGATAAAACAGACTTCACACTGACGTCATACAAGATTTAAAAAAAACTAGCGCAATGTACGTGCGCGTCCGGACTTTGCCTTTCATGTGTAGAAATGTATCTTGCCGGTTTCTTCATCAAATTATTCCGTCACACGCCGTTCAATGGGATACTGTTTTGGTTTGATATTGTGAGAGTGACACGATAGACATGTTGGATGTCACAGTGTTATGACATCCCGGTATCTACAGTAACGTAATTGGTTGTGTGAAGAAATGATGACTCATAAAAACGAAACTTCTATACAAGAACAATTTAAACAGATTGTACTGTTATTGTTGATGGGAATAAAAGAAATATAAATCATAAAATCTCCTGTCCGAGGTTTGTACATTGCCTCTGGATTATTACTGAGGGAGACCTATTAGTGGTGTACACACGTTGACAGGTGACCACGTCTGTTGTGGGGGATATAAGACATGTCGGCACGTGTGTAGAACACGTCGCTCGTGAGGTTTGCCAGGTTAGGATGTATATCACTATCACGACCCATTTATGTTGTACTCATGGCAATGCTTCCGTTCAATCAGGACTTAGTCTGGACGGAGGAAACATGAAGCCTACCATCATATCTTCTTTAGAAGTTCGAAGAACACCTTTCTCAAGTGTCCAACGGTGATTACATTCAATTTGGATTCTGTCAATGATCGGCACATGAACACCTGTACGACTAAGAAAATGTGCTGAGCGTGATGTTGAAGACTGTTGTAGCTTTAGATATGTGGAGATTCATTTATCTCATCATGGTCTACATCCACCAAGGGACATCTAATTCCGTTATTCGTGTAAGCGGGGGACTTATATCGGGTGTACAACTTTCGACGTCACAAGGTCACGTGATGTCCTTTTTAGGTGTGCAATATGCAAAAGCACCTATAGGCAAACTTCGGTTTCAGAAACCGGAAGTTAATGTTAAATGGAATGGCATTCAAAATGCGACAAATTTAGGTCCGATATGTATGCAAAGCATTAGAAACGATGATCTTCAATTGCTAGAAATGAGTGAAAACTGTTTATTTCTCAACATTTACGTCCCTGGCGATATTGATAATGCAAACAACGATCAACTTCCGGTTGTTGTGATTGTACATCCTGGTAACTTTCAGGAAGGTTCCGGTGCAATGATCGATGGGAAATCCATTTCAATTTCTAATCACGCGATCGTAGTGACATTTAACTTCCGGCTTGGGGTATTTGGGTTTCTGTCACTAAAACGGACCTTTCCAGGTAATGCGGGTTTACTGGATCAGGTGGCATTGCTACAGTGGGTGAAACAAAACATTGCGCATTTCAATGGAAATCCGAAAAACGTGGTGTTGATTTGTGATTATTTTACGTCTCAAAAGCATATTTCAAGTACTTTTCATAACTTATATGAAAAGATCATTACGTTCAATGATGATTATGAGGTTGGAAACATCGAGGGAACAAATGCATACTTTAACTCTGATGATATAAAACAACGATGTGCGTCGATTGGTCAATCATTTAATAGATGCTTACTTGAGTTTGATCCATTTATTCTTCTGAATGCATCAACGAGTTCTACAGGACTACGGAAACGTCCACTGTTTTGGCCCGTGCCCGATGCTAATTTCCCAGAAATAGCCAAAAGAACTATTTCGGGCGGATTTGTTTCTTTATTAAATATTGCGGATCTGATTCTCACCGACCTACCATTTCTAATCCGAAGGAATAGTCATCAGAACAATTGTGACGTGACAGACTTTGACGAAATAAGCCACCACGTGGTTCAACTATTGGCTAAAGATATGGACGAGAGATCAAAGCTGTTGATGCTGAAAACGTTGAGAACGTTCTACAATACGCACCCGGAGGATTGTTCCGGTGGCGCCAAATTGTTATCTGATTATCGCTTGTCCGGCGTTCTTTCTTTTGCAAACTCGTATTGCACTCAGAGTTTGACCCTACTGGCCATTGCAGAAATGTCCAGTTCGAATGAACTAAATATAAACACCACATTAATGTGCGTATTGACCAACTGTAGCACGAGTGTCCACTCCGCCAATCAAGCTTTCGCCCAGTTCATTAGATATGGGTAAGTATTCGTTCAAAATCGACGGTGTTGAAATAATAATTAACTGGCCTATCAATATTTGTGAAATTGATTTATGATCGAGGCACATATCCACAATTGAATATTGAAATATTAATATGCATTTCAAAGTCCCTAAATAATCTGTGAATCGAGTTTAGAAAGGCATATATTTTTCTTCATTTTTTCATGTATGATATTTTTGTGTCATACCGATTGAACGTGAAAGTACAACTCTGATGCATTTGAGGAAATAACACTTTTACAATTCAGTAAACCATGTGATGCTCTATCGCCAAGAAATAGTGTAATGTATTAACAAAAAATAGGCTACCACCAGATACTATTGTTATAGATAAAACAAAAGCTAGACTACCACCAGTCAATAGTGTTATGGATTAACCAAAGGCTAAGCTACTAAAAGCAAAATATGACGTATACAGTTAAAGATAAATACCACCAGGCAATTTTGAAATGTCACCTAGCGATTGTGTATATAATTGACCAAGCATTTTTTTTGATATTGACTTCTGGTGTCTACAGCTATCCAACTTTCGCCGATGATCGGATCGTGTGGAGACCATATACACAGAGGTCTAAGAACTACCTGTCCATCAGCGACAGCGTTCTGACAACAGGTGATGTCAAAACATGGCCATTCGACAGACTGGAACTACTTTGGTTTGACCTTTTACCTTCACTTGGCGTAAAGGTCACATCAAGTAAAGTAGATAACAGGAACACGGAAGTGCACATACCGCAGAATGCATGTATAACAAGCTATGGTAATTATCAAATCATATCTCTCCAAATCTACAACACCTTACCTTATCAAACTTCACACCTGACCGGAAAAACATCAGTTATGTTTTGCATGTAACATGTCATAACATTTCAATACAAATAACAGGAAACCCATATCACACGTACAGTTGAGACCAAAACAAAAATACGTAATATGTACTGGCAGATGTTCACAGGAAGGAGAACTGTAGGACTTCAAAATAAAAATACGTAATAAGTACTGGCAGATGTTCACAGGAAGGTGAACTGCAGGAGTTCAAAATAAAAATACGTAATATGTACTGGCAGATGTTCACAGGGAGGTGAACTGCAGGACTTCAAAACAAAAATACGTAATATGTACTGGCAGATGTTAACAGGAAGGTGAACTGTAGGACTTCAAAACAAAAATACGTAATATGTACTGGCAGATGTTCACAGGGAGGTGAACTGCAGGACTTCAAAACAAAAATACGTAATATGAACTGGCAGATGTTCACAGGAAGGGGAACTGTAGGACTTCAAAACAAAAATACGGAATATGTACTGGCAGATGTTCACAGGAAGGTGAACTGTAGGACTTCAAAATCATTTTCATGTCGATGTATAGCCTATTGATTATACATGTGCTTACAATGTAGGTACCACTATATTGAATATGCACCATGAACTACGATATGTACACGTGTAGACTGTTACTTCTATATTGTTTGAACATGTATAGTTGAGTCATAGTTTCCTGATCTGTACCATTTTATGGACTGATTGTACCTTAGATACTGGTATATTAAAAAACAATTATATAACCTATACTCTTATGTATTTTTATTTCAGCTGAAGCACAGTGGGGCCTATCTCCATCACAGGTAAGTTGGTTAGACTCCGAGATAGTAAATGAGACGGGCCATAAACGTATCACTTGACTTATTTCCGGGACAACCACTGTTTCATGCCCAATCAGATAACAATCGTTCCCGTTTATTGATCACTGTCTTGTCTCTGTTTCGGGTCAGACGATTTGTCAATGACCAACTTAATCCCCACATGGTCATTAGTTGGTTCATGGGCACGTTGATCCGCCCATTAATTGGTCCATGGCCACGTTGATCCGCCCATTAGTTGGTCCATGGCCACGTTAATCCCCCCCCCCCTCCAAATTATTTGGTCCATGGCCACGTTAATCCCCCATTAGTTGGTCCATGGCCACGTTGATCCCCCCATTAGTTGGTCCATGGGCACGTTAATCTCCCCATTAGTTGGTCCATGGCCACGTTAATCCCCCCATTAGATGGTCCATGGCCACGTTAATCCCCGATATGATCATAATTAAGTTGGTTTATGGCCACGTTAATCCCCCCCTCCAAATTAATTGGTCCATGGGCACGTTAATCTCCCCATTAGTTGGTCCATGGCCACGTTAACCCCCCATTAGTTGGTCCATGGCCACGTTAATCCCCGATATGACCATTAATTGGTCCATAGTCACGTAAATCAACAGTATGGTCGATTGTTGTTCCATGGACATGTTGACACCGAAAGGATCATTAGTTGGTCAATAGCCACCTCGATCCCCGGTAAGATCGCTGGTTGTCCATGGTCCCTTTATCCCAGGTATGAATGGTCACGAGAGTCTTACATAACTTTCTGATAATCGATTAGAGAGCATTGAATCATACGAGTTTATATCTAACACATGTTATTTCGACCCACCTATTTTTTTCTACATACATTAGTGCTGTGATCTTGATTTTGTCGCCATTGATTGACACCTTTGTCACCGTATGACCCTCCCTCGACCCAACCAGACCTACAATTAAATATAAGCAATTGAAACATCATAACAGTTCTTTACAATGTATAAGTCTGTCATCAATGTACTAAAGTCTTTGTGTAAAAGTACAAAATTTAGCGGTATGGAAATATTCGCGTTTTTCTCGTTGAATAAAATAGCGCGTATAAATAAAAAAACTCAACACGCAAATATCTGTCAATAGATTATTTAGATTATGATATAATATTTCAGAACCGGTGCCCACGCGAAAATGTCCACATTGTAAACAGTTTAGAGTCACAACCCGAATATTTCAACACACGAATATGTTCTCTTTTACAGTATTTGATAGGAGGGGTTTAATTACTTAGGCCAAACGGCGATATTAATATATGATTACCGTATATGTTCTGTTACAGTTAGAGGCCCCCCTCTTCAGTCTGAGACTTATATCTTGGGCACACTTTTTATGATTACCGTATATGTACTGTTACAGTTAGAGGCCCTCCTCTTCAGTCTGAGACTTATATCTTGGGCACACTTTTTATGATTACCGTATATGTACTGTTACAGTTAGAGGCCCCCCTCTTCAGTCTGAGACTTATATCTTGGGCACACTTTTTATGATTACCGTATATGTACTGTTACAGTTAGAGGCCCCCCTCTTCAGTCTGAGACTTATATCTTGGGCACACTTTTTATGATTACCGTATATGTACTGTTACAGTTAGAGGCCCCCCTCTTCAGTCTGAGACTTATATCTTGGGCACACTTTTTATGATTACCGTATATGTACTGTTACAGTTAGAGGCCCCCCTCTTCAGTCTGAGACTTATATCTTGGGCACACTTTTTATGATTACCGTATATGTACTGTTACAGTTAGAGGCCCCCCTCTTCAGTCTGAGACTTATATCTTGGGCACACTTTTTATGATTACCGTATATGTACTGTTACAGTTAGAGGCCCCCCTCTTCAGTCTGAGACTTATATCTTGGGCACACTTTTTATGATTACCGTATATGTACTGTTACAGTTAGAGGCCCCCCTCTTCAGTCTGAGACTTATATCTTGGGCACACTTTTTATGATTACCGTATATGTACTGTTACAGTTAGAGGCCCCCCTCTTCAGTCTGAGACTTATATCTTGGGCACACTTTTTATGATTACCGTATATGTACTGTTACAGTTAGAGGCCCCCCTCTTCAGTCTGAGACTTATATCTTGGGCACACTTTTTATGATTACCGTATATGTACTGTTACAGTTAGAGGCCCCCCTCTTCAGTCTGAGACTTATATCTTGGGCACACTTTTTATGATTACCGTATATGTACTGTTACAGTTAGAGGCCCCCCTCTTCAGTCTGAGACTTATATCTTGGGCACACTTTTTATGATTACCGTATATGTACTGTTACAGTTAGAGGCCCCCCTCTTCAGTCTGAGACTTATATCTTGGGCACACTTTTTATGATTACCGTATATGTACTGTTACAGTTAGAGGCCCCCCTCTTCAGTCTGAGACTTATATCTTGGGCACACTTTTTATGATTACCGTATATGTACTGTTACAGTTAGAGGCCCCCCTCTTCAGTCTGAGACTTATATCTTGGGCACACTTTTTATGATTACCGTATATGTACTGTTACAGTTAGAGGCCCCCCTCTTCAGTCTGAGACTTATATCTTGGGCACACTTTTTATGATTACCGTATATGTACTGTTACAGTTAGAGGCCCCCCTCTTCAGTCTGAGACTTATATCTTGGGCACACTTTTTATGATTACCGTATATGTACTGTTACAGTTAGAGGCCCCCCTCTTCAGTCTGAGACTTATATCTTGGGCACACTTTTTATGATTACCGTATATGTACTGTTACAGTTAGAGGCCCCCCTCTTCAGTCTGAGACTTATATCTTGGGCACACTTTTTATGATTACCGTATATGTACTGTTACAGTTAGAGGCCCCCCTCTTCAGTCTGAGACTTATATCTTGGGCACACTTTTTATGATTACCGTATATGTACTGTTACAGTTAGAGGCCCCCCTCTTCAGTCTGAGACTTATATCTTGGGCACACTTTTTATGATTACCGTATATGTACTGTTACAGTTAGAGGCCCCCCTCTTCAGTCTGAGACTTATATCTTGGGCACACTTTTTATGATTACCGTATATGTACTGTTACAGTTAGAGGCCCCCCTCTTCAGTCTGAGACTTATATCTTGGGCACACTTTTTATGATTACCGTATATGAACTGTTACAGTTAGAGGCCCTCCTCTTCAGTCTGAGACTTATATCTTGGGCACACTTTTTATGATTACCGTATATGTACTGTTACAGTTAGAGGCCCCCCTCTTCAAGTCTGAGACTTATATCTTGGGCACACTTTTTATGATTACCGTATATGTACTGTTACAGTTAGAGGCCCTCCTCTTCAGTCTTATCTTGGGCACACTTTTCATGCTGGTCATCATCACGGCGCTGTTCCGAATCCTGTGTCACTTCCGGGGCAGGAAGTTCTTCAAGGCGGAAGGTCGGGGAACGTCCAAGAAAACTGGAGAAATTTCAACGAATCATGTGGGGACGCAGAATCATGTAGTCTTGCCAAACCATACTAGACCACAGAACAACACCAGGTCGCGAAATCGTACCGAAAATGACAGTCTCGCCGGGATACACTGTCACACTGTTCATTCCACGACACCCATGTAACAACTCGCCGGGATACACTGTCACACTGTTCATTCCACGACACCCATGTAACAACGAAGTATGCGTTTGTTGTAAATTGATTTCTGTGTTATTGGAAATTGCATTATATTTATATTTTGTAAAGCATTATTGATAATGTTTATAAGTTGCAATAACTTGTGTCCAATCCTTTTGTTATTATATTGCAATAAAATATGTTTCAACTAAACATGTAACAACTGTCTGTATACATAAAAGAAATAAACAATAAATAATGCTGAAACATAATTCGTGAATACTGTTTATTCATATATATTTTTCGGGTGCAAAGGGTCCATATAGTTCAGTTTTGTAAAGCGTCGGTCATTGGACCTCAAGGTCGTAAAGTTCACATAGGTTCAGATCTCGAAGACGGCGGGATCAATATCTCCGAGGGTCTCAATGAGAAGTGGAGGAGGCACACACTTGGACAGATTGAAACAGGATGTGATGGCGTCGAGACGCTTTACCATTTAAAAAAACTCTACCCTCCTAGAGAGGAGCAAAATCTCTTCTGGATTGGTTGGTTAGAGTGCGGACCCAGAACTTTTTCGTAAACATTTTCTTCAGGTTGGTAATTATGGTTATAGGAAGGTTTATGTGGTATGTTTCGGTGACTGAACGGTATACTTCATCAGACCTTTACTAGTCACCGAAACGTCACATATAAACACGTACCTGGCTGTGTTATATGAACCTTTCTTAAATACTGGCCCACAACATTTAGAACCGTGACCTAAACCGCCTCCGGCAAACACACGCACACCAATACACGGTATAAGAAGGAAAGACAAGTGCTGGTTTCCCCTCCCTGACAACTTATGGAGTGGAAGTTTAGGTGATAAACCCGTTACAATATTTAGTGTCAATCATGTACATGTGCACCCATTCTATCAAAACTTTGACGAGATTTGTGTCACCAATGTCAAAATGGGCGGGGCAGCTTACCGTAACCGACCCAATTTCTCCAAATGTCATGGATTATTTATGGACAAAAAAAAGGGGGGGGGGGGGGGGGGGGGTCATTTATTGATTTAAAAAACCCATTCGATACTGTTTGGGTGGAAAAAATCAATCGCAAACAATGTCCGAGTCATATGTAATCTATACTTAAATACCAAGTCATGTAATCAGAATGGGAATGAAATGTCGGACTTTTTCATTTGCAATGTCGGGGTAAAACAAGGGGAAAACTTATCCCCATTCTTATTTTCCCTGTATCTAAATCACACAGAAAGCTTCTTTATAGAACACAACATTTCATCATTACAAGAAATCGAAACAGCTTGCCGGTCACATATTGGAGTGTATTCAAAATTGTAAGGAATATGATAAATTTAACAAAGCTAGAAAAAATATATCTGAACAAGCAAACAAGGCACTTAACAGGAAAATTAGAAATATTTTATTACCAGTAGATTTGCAACTTAAACTATTTGATTCACTTGCAACACCCATTATGATGTATGGAGTGAGATATGGGGATTCAAAAAAGCTGGTATTGTTGAACAAACCCATTTGAAATTTTGCAAGAAGATCTGAAATCTAAGGAAAAGTACTCCAAACTGTATGATATATGGAGAGCTTGGTCGTTACCCATTGGAAATAGATATTAAAACAAGAATGATGGCTTTTTGGCATAAGCTAATCTCAGGTGGCAACAAATTATCAAGTACTATCTATTTTTTGATGCTTCAACAGAATGGTCATTTAGAACTTAAATGGTTGAATTTTATCAAGACTTTAATCAATAATACTGGTTTTAACCAGGGACGTATAGTGAAGGGGATTAGCAACTCCCTCTCTGCCTTACCAATTTTATGACACGTCAATCTAGACTTACCTCCCCCTGATTCCGGACCAGATAGCGAGCGCCACCTATCTCAATTT